TGCCCGACAAGAGAAGACCTCTCCCTCGACTGTAAGGTACAGTGCTGCACTCTCTACTCACATGGATCCCGGGAATTAAAACCTTTTGCAAACATTTTGAAACCATAATATATATATATATAAATATATTTTGCAAAACAAATTTCAATGGTTGAAATCGACTACCGACAATTTTGGTTTCCATCAGAGAGAGTACATCTCCGATCATTCACTTTGTCCGACAAAGGGGCTGATCTTGTCACTATGATCACCCACTCAGATGAATTCTCGGACTGTCCCAACATACCAAAGTTTTGACCCCCTCTAAGGATCTCATTGATTGACATATCAAAGACAACCCAATCTGACACATAGTGCAGTATCATAAAAGAGTCTAGGGGTCAGGTGTAACATTACAGTTTTGCCCATCTATTTCCAAGGTGTAGGGCAATACTAGAATTCTGGTCCGGTTTAGGGTTTCAAGAAAACCCACACTACATGTACCTCAGGTCTTACCCTGGTAGTTGAGACAAGCCACCCTAACCAACTTGGCGGCACATCAGTATCAGCTTTGGCAAGATAAATCTTCCCAGATCTATCCAATGGCTGTGAAGATTCTAAACTAACACGAGTCTCATATGTGTCCAGTTTAAGGGTATTAYAYAGAAACACACCAWAATARCAYGAATCAAATATRTACTTTATTMATTTACRWTAAATGTCATAATGTACATCATTCTGATTGGAGCTAAGGGCATACACTATCTAACATTGATTACTTATAATTGCAATTTCTTATTTTGTCTTTTTTAATGTAGCAAATAGGAATGTTATAACTCCAATCTAACCTCTAGGGTCCCTCTGTTAGTTATTTTTTGAGTCGGGTGAGAAATTGGATTTGTTCCAAATGTGCCTCACATCACATCACAGCCATGTCCGGATATGCTCCAAACAAGTGCTCCTCACAACGTGTTCCACTTGCACATCTGAAACATGTCCCGTAATTTTTTATTGTTATTTATTAGAAGACCGAAGATGTTCCCAAATAAATGGTGGGATGGGGCTGTGAAGTTGGAGCATGTTGCCATATCCAGAGCGCTCCTCACTCCGACTACACAACATATTTTAACTGTACATTGAAAACATCCTATATTTGTATTTATTATTCTACACAGATGAATGTGGCTGCGAAGTTGATGTGGGGTGTGCTGTTTATCTCAATTTTCTGATGCAAAATTGGATTCAATAAATGCAAAGCCTGTTTGAACATCCATTATAACCTTGCATTGCAAATATCTCCTGATGAAATAAAGCATAGAAGTAGATGTTCCCAATGCAAGGTTGTAAAGGCTATTCGAACGGGCCTTGCACCGACTGAAGCCGACCACTTCTGATGTATGGCTGAAAAGAAAAAAGGGATTTTTAGACTGCACTCTACCTCAGAATTCAAATTTGAACTGCAGACCTACAACAATTCAAATTTATAAACAGCTCCACTTATAATACCCATACCCACCCATGAATTAGCATCAATTTATCAATTCTAAGCTGGACCTACCCTGAACTGTAAGGTTGAGCTAGGATCTCTGAAATAGACTGAACGGTAAAAAACCCAAGAAAAAAACACTGTGAGGTTGGTGTGAGATGCTATCCACACCAAAGGCATCGTTCTAGAGCGAAACTGTGACGTTGGTGTTTACCTTTTGAACCTTTCACATAACATTTCTATTTTATCTTTATCTCCTAGTTTATTTGGTAACAAAGGCATCATTCTAGTTCACATTCAAAATATATGAACTGGTTCAACGATATATACATTTTTCCGTAGACATGTCTACGAGTCCATGTTTTCTAATATTGTCAAGCCATTGGTCATGTGTTAGGATTCCAATTCTTATATTTGTGCAAATGCAAAACTGAACCAATTTTGTCTTATTCAAACTAAAGTTGTGTTATGTATCATTTGTATTTTAAATGGGAACTAACTACCACTGCAAACCTTTTTGAGAGTTAAAGATAATTATCATTTGAAATTCATAATCTTTTTTTAAAGCTACAAAGAGAGAATAGATGAGCACATGTTTGAAAAATAATGTTTCTATTTTAAAGTGGAAATAATCATTCTTTTAAAAAATAGGGAAAATTCCCGATTAGTATTTTGTATTTTGGGCCTACTGCTACTTTGATGCTCAAACTTTAAAATATGACAATTCAGTACCCAAACTTTCAAAATGTATCAATCCAATACCTCTATGTTAACACTTACATCAATAGGGTTGTCTTTGGGATAAGACTTGGATGATGATGATAATGATGGTGATGACACCAATAACACTAAATCCAAGTCTGAGATGACCGTAAATAGGGGTGCAAAGAAGTGCATGTAAAAGCTTTTCCATGTTTAAGTATATATTTATGTAATGATAGAATATTTAAACTAACAAAAACCATACTTTATTAGACTCTACTTTGCGTGCAAGTTGAGTTGTCCGATTTGAAGAATTTCAATTACATTGCACTCGGGTTCAGTCTCAGCCCATTAAAAGCATGGTCAAAATCCCAACCCAATCAGACCCCAGGTTGAAATTGTAGCACTCCTATTTTATCAGTTCCTGGTGGAATGATTTTTAGAGTAAAAAAGAGTGAAAACGTGTGATAACAAAGGGATCGATACACCCCACCCCATTTGAAGTATGACACAGGTTGCAATCAAGCAAACAAGACATGAAAATGACAAGGATTATATAAGGAATTGAAGCCACTACACTACTCCTAAGACTACTTTCCATGCTATAGTGTGAGGGGGGTAATGAGCTGTTGATCGATGCATGCATTGGTTTATTTTACACTGGAATTCGAAACAAAGAGTAACCAGGAAATGCATCATATATAGTAATGTCAATTGTATGCAATATTGAGGTCAAGATTCAATTTGATTAAAAAAGAAACGGATTTAATTTTATGGATTTTGGATCTTTGTAAATTACAGTATAGGTACCTTGTATTGGGCTCTTAAAAATAGATACTTGGGTCCATCTGTTAGTATTTCGTCAATTAAACATTGCATAATATCAAAAAATACCTTTCTCGCTTTAATATTTTTAAGATCATTCTATGGAGTAAAATAATCATCGGAGAATGCCCTCATAAAAAAATTTGAATATATTATTTATTGTCCATGTGAGAGCATCATCATGGGGAGATGTTCTATTACTTGAGAATGATCTTAAAAATACACAAGAAGGGCATTTTTGACATTATATAATATTAACCGACAGAATACTAACGAATGAACCCAAATGTCTATTTTTGAAATTACAAGGTACTCAACTATTATAATTGAAAGTTCAGATCTGTCATACCCCCAAATAGACCTGTTCATGGGCCGGGTCGGGCCGGGCTCGGGCCGGGCTTTCACTTGTCACTAATGAAAATATACTAGGCCCGAGCCCGAGCCCGGCCCGACCAACGGGCCTATAACTTGGGCCCGAGCCCGGCCCTGGTAAAAAGCCCGAAGCC